AGTACTAAAACAGAGTCGGACCGGCGCCAGTTTTTGGGGTCGTGCGGGTCGTTTTCAGACTCTAAAACAGGGTCGTTTGTTCTATGCGGGTTAGGTCTGTTATTAATCATTCAAAATTTGTTGGGTTTAATTAAATGTGCTCTAATTTAAACTTCGATGTTCTTTTCTTTTGTTACATTAATATTTTCTATCTTGATCAAAAACATTTCCAAAACAATTATTCCAAACGATTTCTGAAACGAATTTGCCAACCGTTTCGAAAGCAAATTTGCCAACCGTTTCGAAAGATCGTTTTGTTTGATTTCTTTGGCCAGAGTAAAAATTGTGCATAATTGTAAGAAAAGGAAACTTATCAACATAGAATTTTAAAAACTTGATTTAACATATATAGTCAGATATAGTGTTAAAAACTTGATTTAACATATAGTCAGGTATAGTCTTAAAAACTTGATTTAACATATATAGTCATATATAGTCTTAAAAACTTGATTTAACATTTATAGTCAGATATAGTTTTAAAACTTGATTTAACATATATAATCATATAAAGTCTTAAAAACTTGATTTAACATATATAGTCAGATATAGTTTTAAAAACTTGATTTAACATTTATAGTCAGATATAGTTTTAAAAACTTGATTCAACATATATAGTCAGATATAGTAAGTTATATACATATATATATATATATCTATATAAATCATTTTTAGCTTTTTTGACTTATTTTTAATCTTTACAATAAAACAATATATTCGTATATATATATATGTATGTTGCGTATAGCCTGCCAAACGGCTGGACCGATTGGGCTGAAATTTTTTGTGGACACACAGGGCCATAAAATATCAAAAAAAAAGTTATCAAAATATTTTTCTTTTTTTAAATTAAAAAAAATTCCCACGGGCAACGCCGGGCCCTGATTTAATAAATTATTTAGTTCAAATAACAATTTGTGCTAATTTATTAAAAGAAATTTGTCAAACAATTTGTAAAGAGAAGTTCAAACAAATAAACAAAACTGTTAAATTCAAAAAGATTTGAATCCACAAAAAAGATAGTTCTCGAAATATATGTTTTAAAGAAACTTTAGGACTGGTGAAATATAGTATTTTTATCAAAAAAGTGCCCCATATAGTTTCACCCGACGAACGGGGTCAAATGCCTAACTCAACAAATATATTTCTTGTTCTTTTAGGTCAATATCACATAAAACACAATACAATGGAAAGCTTAGATCAATTTCATATTTAAAAATGTACAAATATTTATAAAAAAGTGTGTTTTATAAAAAAAAACAGACTTTATAGCATTGAACAGAAATCTGTTTGTTTACGGTGTATCAATAAAGCTAAATGAACAATATTCAGTATTAAACTTTAGTCCGAATTTAATGAATTTGAGCCGCGTCTCAAATTCGCCAAAAAACCTATTTCAATTGAGCGCCGGCTTACATCTTGAAACATTGAATACAAATTCTTTAAATTCGGCCTTTGGTCGTATAAAGAATATTGAGCACGTACATACAAAGCACATCATCACTAAACATATCCCAACCAAAAGTAAAGAGGAGCGGGGGGGGGGGTATGTAAATGATGAAAAATGTAAGAATATTTCTATGTCCTAGAATGTATCCTCATTTTATTCCCCTGACGGGGTCTAGGTCAGCATATACTACTATGCTGCTGCTGTAGCATGAAGGTCAGCTTGCTTTCTAGCCCAAGTTCATTCGTCTGAAGGGGGATTTTTTTCTATATTCCCCGGGCTACGTCACCTTTATAAGTTTTTAAGCGTTTTTGTTTTGTTTTGCTTAATAATTATTTTTCCTCTGTTTTATGTAAATCCGGTCGATCATAAACAGAAGACGACTTTTATAATAAAGTCATAAGTCCCAAGAGCATGAGACACAGAGTTTGTAGGGTGTAAATAGACCTATTTAACTAAATTAGTGAAAAAAGTGTATAGTAAGACTATTTGTTTTGAACAGCATCAAATAAACTTAAGTATTTCTGTAAACTCGTCTTCCTATTCCATTGTTTTCTGGTTATCATTGTATCAGATTTTAGAATGTATCGTTCTATATATATGCCTATCTATCTATCTATCTATCTATCTATCTATCTATCTATCTATCTATCTATCTATCTACCTATCTATCAATATATCTATCTATCTATCTATCTGTGAGGCTACATATAGGCATGAGTATTGAGTATACACCTGTTGCCTAATCCAGGGGCTTCACCAAATAAAAGGTGGATTCAGTGGGGGGGGGGGGGGGGATACTACCCCCAAAACTGTTTCCGAGAATCGAGAAAAAATGCGAAACCAATAAATTTATGTGAAGACGACCATTCAATAAAGGTAGATTTTTACAATCTAAATATAAGAGCCTCAAGAGACAAGTACCGCAATAATAAACATCATACAAACGTTGGCAAGCAACTAAAGCCAGTTTTTGATGTTATCACTATACATTTAGTCTGAGACAAATGAAAGAAAAAAGGAATAATTTTTTTCAAAAACACTGCTCCCTTTTCAACCCACTGCCCCCCCCCCCCTACACCCCCCCAAAAAAAAACACTTTTGTCCCTGCCTTTCCCAAGTATGAACCAAGGCACTGTGCCTAGTTTTTGGCCTAAAGTTGTCTTTAAACACCTGCAGTGTAGGCTTACTTCGGCCTCTAAAAATGCCTAGATCTGATCTGAGAGAAAGAAAGAGAGTGAGAGAGAGAGAGATTAGTTTAGTTCATTTCATTTAGTCTCCCTCAGTACATTATACAGTTACAGTTATTAGCAGAGAAGAAGAGAGGAAAGGAAAGGAAATAAAGGAAGGAAAGAAAGGAAAGGAAGGAAAGAAAGTGAAAAGAAGGAAAGGAAGGAAGGAAGGAAAGGAAGGAAAGAAAGTAAAACAAGGAAAGGAAGTAAACAAGGAAAGGAAGGAAGGAATGAAAGGAAGGAGAGGAAGGAAAGGAAGGAAAGGAAGGAAAACAAGGAAAGGAAGGAAAAAAGGAAAGGCAAGAAAGGAAAGGAAGGAAAGGAAAGGAAATGAAGGAAAAGAAGGAAAGAAAGAAAAGGAAGGGAAAGGAAGGAAAACAAGGAAAGGAAGAAAGGAAGGAAAGAAAGGAAAGGAAGGAAAGGAAAGGAAAGGAAGGAAAGGAAGGAAAGGAAAGGAAAGGAAGAAAAGGAAAGGAAAGGAAGGAAAGGAAAGGAAAGGAAGGAAAGGAAAGGAAGAAAAGGAAAGGAAAGGAAGGAAAGGAAGGAAAGGAATTGTCAAGAAATAAAAAACACACATGAAATATACTCTCCTACAGTCCTCATACCTTCTACAGTAAACTTAGTTCATCTCCATCCACCCAACAGAGCACTTACGCGCTCAAACGCACATACCTTAGGCGCGCGTAAACAAAGATTTATGAAAGCCCACGCAATATTTGGGCACACATATTGTTACGCTATACGCTGGTATTGAAAACATTGTGTAAAAAAGTGTGAAAATCAAATATTAAAATTTTCAGTGTAAAAGAATGTGAATTACTATAAGTGAAAAACTTTTAAAAATCCCAAAATGGGGCAGGTGAAGTATTTTTACTACAATTACTAGTTTTCAAAAAAAAATATGAAACGGTTTGAATTCCAAAAAAAAGTGAACAATTGTATCGTAATAGTTAAAACTGATTTAAAGGAAAGGTTAACAAAATTTTGAATAAGAATTTTCCATTTTTGTTTAAAGGGTTTATCTATGTGGCTCATTATGTTGTTTTCTAATTCAACATTAAATACCACACATGGTCGGATACTGGGGGGAGGGGCGGCAGGACCACATAAACCACATAAACCACATAAACCACATAAACCACATAAACCACGTAAACCACATAACCATAGATTGTCAATTCGAGCCTTTAAATTTCTATTAAATAATATTAATTAAGAGAAGTATGTAAAATATCAAATCTAATATATATATATATATGTGTGTGTATTATATATATATGTAGAACAGAAACAAATTGTGGCAAATTTAAACCAGATGTCCCACCTGCTTTAGAATAATTAGTAGGGCAAAAAATTCTTACATTCAGAGTGTCTCAACAAGCTTGAAAATGAGAATTGTTTGTGAAAATAATGGATTTGCAGTATTTTTCTTTCAACACGGTGTATATTTACCGTTTTTCATGCACCACAGTATTTAGGACACAAAACTTTGAATACCAATATGCATATATTGTTTTGTTTTTGTTTCTAACTTGACCCCAACCCCAAGGAATGCTTATAGATAAATCTGCCAAACTTTTGTTTTACAATGTACAAAACTTAAACATCAGAAAGTATATTGTCAAACACCAATCCATCTTTTATCTTAATTATATAATTATTAAAATTTATCAACACCTCGATATAAATTTACCTTTTTATTTTTCCGATATAACCCCTTTCATAGCGGCACTTCATTTCCACAAAATAGCCAAACTATTTATCCCATCAAATTTAATGTTTAGATTAACATTCATGAATTATATGAAGACTTTAAAGAAGATTTTAAAATTAATGATACATTTTTTTACTATTAATTTTTTTGAAATTTTTTTTTATTTTATTTAGTCTTTTCCTGAAAAAAAAATAAAAATAGAATTTCCCCGATTTTAGGAGAGACTAGAGTTACAGTTTGGAGTGTACACTGGAGGAGTAGAGGATTCTAAACCACATGGTGACGGACAAGTCGTCTTTCATCCAGATGATCTGGGAGGACGAAAAGTTTTCGTTGGAACGTAAGCATGTTTTCTTACAGCACATTGTATATTTTTTTCGGATTATTACAAATACGTTTTTCACCCTTTTTACCCTTACTTATGCTCTTAAACATTTTCTAAACTAAATTATACGTGGATAATTGTGTTCAGGGGCGTACGAGGGGGGGGCCGCGCCCCCCCCCCCCGCCCCCCTCTACGCGTGCCCCCCCTGAGAGGTTGAGGGGGGGGCATCCATGGGGGAGGCTCTTTTAATATTACATCTGCTTGCATTTCCCTTCCTCAGGTCAGGCACAGTGGTGTACCTAGGGGGGGCAGTAGTTCTCTTGCCCCCCTGGGAGTTCCAAAAATACAAAATTAAAAGGAAACTACGTTTAGAAAGTAACACCTGACAATGACAAAGACTAAGGATTTGTCTAAATTCACTGTTAATACAAGGAGAGAAAAGTTTTAGCCTTCTAAAGAGAATACTTCTTTACACAAGATGTACTATGACGGAGAGCAGACTTAACGATCTTGCACTTATAGCTTTACACCCTATAAGGCTGTCTGAGCTCTCTACTGAAAAAAATCATTGAAATGTTTGTGCAAGCAAATCCCAGAAAATTGTAGCTTAAACGATTTGGTTAAAATGTAGATTGAGTAAATTCTATCTAAAAATTTCAGAAGAAATTTCGTTTATTCGTAAAAATATAATTTTTAATGATGCTGTGATTATTGATTTAAGCTGTGATGGAGTTAAGTGATAAATTTATAAAGTCAAAAAGTTAGTTTTTCAAGCAAAGGAATAATTTTTAGACTCTAAGGTTAGTAACACCCAAAAAAGTAGTCTTTTTGGTGTATTTTTATGGTGAACAAAATAAGTGCAGGTGGGAGAGGGGGGGCAAAAAAATTTAAAAAAGGTATTAATATTTTTTCAAAAAAGGGGTTTTTAAGGGGGGGACCAATGTTGCCAAGGGGGGGACCAAAAAATTGTGCCCCCCCCAAAACAAAAGCCCTCGTACGCCCCTGAGCTCTCCTATTATAGATTCAGAAATGTATTATCTAGAAAGTATTAGATTCTTTTTTTATTATTTTAATCTAAAACAAGTTATTTGCGGATCTGTCAAGAAAGTGCTGCGGAAATACATTGAAGACAGTTGTCACAGTTTTTAAGATAGAAAACGAAGATATCTCTCTCATTGGAACACAGATTAGTTGTCTATCAATAAATGAACATGTCACTTAAAATTACGTCTACAGTTCCTTTAATGTAAATAAACTAGAAATATAACAAACAATCAGTTTGTGAATGTCATATTCTTATGATTTTTATTTTTATAAATTAGATAATAAAAAATGCACAAGAAATCTTCATATCTTTGCTTACAAAAAAAAAGCATCTAAGCAAACTTAGGCAGAGTTTTCTAGATTTCTGGATTACATCTATAGTATAAATAGGCATTTAACCTTTACAACCTTTTATCCTTCAAGAACACTCCCTTTAATTCCTTTAATATAAATGGGTGAACACTCCCCTTAATCCCCGTAGTCTAAATTGGTCAACATTCCCTTTAATCCTTATAATTTAGATAGGTGAACACTCCATCTAATCTCTTTAATTTAGAAATGAACACTCCCTAATAATCGTTTTAATTTGGATTGGTGATCACTTCCTTTAATCACTTTAATTAAGATGGGTGAAAACTCCCTTTAATCCCCTTAATATAGATGAGAGAACACACACTTTAATCCTTTTGAATCATATGATGAACACTCCCTTAAATTCCTTTAATTTAGATGGGTGAACAATCCCTTTAATCCCTTCAATCTAGATGGGTGAACACTCCCTTTTTATCCCTTTAATTTAGATGGGTGAACACTCTCTTTAATCAGTTTAATTAAGATGGGTGAACACTCCCTTTAATCCTCTTAATTTGAATGGGTGAACACTCCATTTAATCCCTTTAAACTATATGGGTGAACACTCCCTTAAATTTCTTTAGTTTAAGTTGGTGAACACTCCCTTAAATCCTTAATTTAGATGGGTGAACAATTCCTTTAATCCCTTTAATCTAGATGGGTGAACACTCCCTTTTTATCCCTTTAATTTAGATGGGTGAACACTCCCTTTTTATTCCTTTAATTTAGATGGGTGAACACTCTCTTTAATCCCTTTATTTTAGATGGGTGAACGGAAGGAGAGAAGGTCAGGGAAAGATGGTTTGGACGACAGGTTCGTGAACAATATTTTTTTTATCAATTTCCAGGTAACAAACGTGATGAATTTCTCCAAGTTCTCCAAGTTTTGGTGACTTGCTTTGAGGAATTTCCGGGGAATTTCTTGAGAATAAAAAATTCTTGTGACTGATTCCTCAGAAATTCTTGAGAAATTCTCTGGAATTGGTCCCCAATTTGAGAGATTTTTAAGGAATCAGAGTTCTGAGAATTAGTTTGGAGAAATTCCTGAGATTTTCTCCGTAATTTTTCCCAAGAAGTTCCTGAGAATTCTTCTGGAATATTTCTCCGGAAATTCCTGAGAAATTCTCAGCACTTGGTCACCAATTTTACGGATTTTTTTCGGGGAACTGAATAAAGACATAGTCTTGAATTCCTTGGATCGGAATGAGTTACGAGAAATATCCCAGAATGGGCAACAAGAAATTCCTCGGAAAATTTTCACCTGATTTTCCTGTGAAAGATTCTTGAAAATTTCCGCGCCTTCCCAGAAATGATTCTTGGGAATTTCCGTGGATTTTCCGCAAAATTGTTACCTAGGAAGTCTTTTTATTTCTTAGATTTATTGATTAACTGATTGGATAATTAATTAAGTAATTGATTGGTCATTTTATTGATTTGTTGATTTATTTATTAGTTGAATAATTAATTTATTGAATAGTTGATAAATTAATCGATGAAATAGTTGATAAATGAACTAACTGAATAGTTTATAAATCAATTAATTGAATAGATGATAAATTAATTAATTAAATAATTTATAGATTAATCGATGAAATAGTTGATAACTTAACTAATTAAATAATTGATAAATGAATTGATTGAATAGTTGATAAATTGATAAATTGAATAGGTGATAATTTAACTGATGGAATAGTTGATAAATGAATTGATTGAATAGTTGATAAATTGATAAATTGAATAGGTGATAATTGATAAATGAATTGATTGAATAGTTGATAAATTGATAAATTGAATAGGTGATAATTTAACTGATGGAATAGTTGATAAATTAACTAATTGAATAGTTGATAAATTAACTGATGGAATAGTTGATAAATTGATAAATTGAATAGTTGATAAATGAACTGATGGAATAGTTGATAAATTACCTAATTGAATAGTTGATAAATTAACTGATGGAATAGTTCCAATTGAATAGTTGATAAATTAACTGATTAAATAGTTGATAAATGAACTAATTGAATAGTTGATAAATTAACTAATTGAATAGTTGATAAATTGATCGATGGAATAGTTGATTAATTAATTAATTGAATAGTTAATAAATTAATTAATTGTATAGGTGATAAATTTGTTAATGATTGATTGATTGATTGATTTCTAATTTAGGAGAAGAATATGAAGGAGGATGGAAGAACAACCTGCAGCAGGTAGAAATCCAACATTTTCTATGTCGCCCTTTTTTATGATCACAATGTTGAGCCTCTAACTAATAAGATAGATATGATTGAATAACATTTTAATTTCGTTATAATTAAAGGGAATGTAATTTAAAATGACCGGACGATTAAAAAGATGTAGGATCAGTTCACAACAATACCCTTTACAGTTACATCTTTATCTGTGTAACCTTTAGGAAGTTACTGTCAATTTTTTATCTTGAATCGTTTAAGTCTTGTTAAGTTTTGTCAATTTTGAATGTAGAGTAAATTGAAATTACGCTTACAGTCCCTTTAAATTTGCCCGGATAGTGCTAACTTACCCTCCAGCAAGATTTCCATTGAAGGTTTGAAGTTGATTTTTTGAAATTTATTATTTAAATCTTAAAGATTAAATTAGATAATAAGCAAAATAATATAAATCGTAACTTTGACGTCAAAAAGAAGATTAAAAAACCAAATTTGACTTTAACAATTTTTTAGGGAAAAGGACGACATTCTTTTCCATCCGGACACTACGATATAGCAGAGTGGGATCAGGTAGAGATTATTAATTAGCAAAAAGTGGAATTCTAGTTTTCTTCTTTTTTCTTTTAATTTGAAATTAATACAAAACTAAGCTTAAATTTTCTAAAAATTATCTTAACATTTATAAAACTAAATTGAAAACTAGAAAATTCTCAGCAACAATTCTAAATTTAAGAAGAAACCAAGATTGACTAATTCTGGTTTTTGCTGTAAAACAATGACCAGAGCTGGGAACTTTTGAATGGTAGATATCGGGATTAATGCTTGATTTCCTCTTTTTCTTAATCTCCAGATTAGATAATTCTTGTTCTCCTCTTGTTATTAATCTCCAGATTAGATAATTCTTGTTCTCCTCTTGCTATTAATCTCCAGATTAAAAAAAATTCGAATTATTTTTTTTTTTTCCACGGGCAACGCCAGGCCCATCAGCTAGATATCAATAATATAGAATCATGTTAAGTGGGGAAAATTGTGTAGTTTTCAACAAAAGTTTAATACATTTCATATAGTTATGTTACCAAAGTATTCGTCGTATAATATTAATACAATGAAGACGACTTTCAATTTCAAATTGTGATTTCTACACAGCATGGATAAATATAAACATGGAAACAAAGAGACGCAGTCAATTCACAGCTTCTCTTTGATTACTTGTAAACTTGTTATTTGAAAAAAACTTGATAGAAAACAAAACTTAAAAATATGAAAGTCGTCTTCATTGTGTTGATATAAACGCTGACCACTGTATGTATTTATCAGGGTCTTCGGCATGGCTTTGCAGAATACTTTCACCCTAATGGAAACAAGGTAACATATTTTTTTAAAAGCTATGAAAAATGTGCGCATCTCTGTATACAGAACCTGGCAAAAATTTTACTTCAAATTGTCAGAAAGTGTCGTGAGTCATACCACCCAAATTATGTTGCTACCAAAGAGAATAGAATATATATTAGAGTGGAATCGTTTGTAAAGTGAAAGGCATAGAGTCTATGTGAAATGATCATTGGTCAATTATGAAACCAGCCTATTTCATGATTTGGTTTTCTTTTAGTATTAATTTTAGATTTTCTATAAAATGATGTTCCAGGGTCGAAAAGGTTATATAGCATAAATATGTGAAGTACACCTGCAGTATGGAAACAGTTCAACAAAATGGCCGTTTTACACTTTTTTCTAGTAAATTCCCCTCTAATATATATTCTATTCTTTTTGGTTGCTACAGTGCAGAATATATTCGGCTAAAAATGTATTTATAAAGTTTACCGAAATATTATTTATATTTTCAGAAACTTAAACAATCCATCTAAATTCAGTCAAAACGATATCCTTCCTTTAAACCTTTATCTGATCAATAATGTTAAAGATATCTTTGTTTTTCTAGCGTCAAATATTTTAAATTCTCACTATAAGCTCCGTTGATTCTGTTGGATTGGAATAAGTCACTTTTAGAGAAAGAAACCACAATTGAAAATAAACATGTTCTATATATCTAAAAATATATCATTGATCAGTATTTGAACAGATCATGTGAATCGGAAATGCCAACGTGAAATTACGTGTTTAGTCCCTTTAAACCTGCAATATTTTAAAAAAGTGTTTTTTAGGAGGAGGCAACATATGTTGAAGGATATGAAGAGGGAGAAAGTGTTGTTTATTATTCAAACGGAAAGGTAAATTATGGTGGATTCTTTGCTGGGAAAATTGAGAAATCAGGGCGTTTTGCGCCTATCTTCTATTTTAATTGTGAATGTTTTTCCTTTATGTACATTGTAAAACAATGACAAAAAAATTTTTCGCGTTTTTTAAAAAAATGTCTTGGATTTTCAAAATTTATGTTTGTTTGTGGCTATTTTTTTTAATTTTTATCGTCCACAAACCTGCCCCGTTTTAAAGATTTTATACGATTTTGAAGTCGTTAATCTTTTTTCACATGAATGATTCTTAAGACAATAACCACAAAAATCTCCTAGTCCTGGAATTTCTAAAATGTGGGCTGCCTTTTTGGGTTGTCAATATTACCGCAATTGTCATTAAAAAATAAATTGTTTGAAATCTGATAATATATTCGGTAATATTAAGAGCACAAAAAAGGCAGACCTCGTTTTGGAAATGCCAAGACTATTAACATTAGAATTTTACTTTAAAAATCTGGTTTACTAATAAATGCTGTAAATTAGTTAAAAAATCAAATACGACCTTTAAGTCATCTTGCTACTGTCATGTATCATGGGACACCCTGTATATAAATTTGCACTTTACTCAGGTAGAGAAGAGAACCTATGAGAAGGGTGAACTAAACGGCCCAGCAACAATTACCTGGACAAATGGAGACTCTTTTGAGTTCTCATATGTTGGAGGTAAAATGGAGGTAATGCTGTTTTTGTGTTTTCAATGTAAGGCGTGTGTTAAAAATACAGTGCTTTTCTCAGAAAATGACAATTTTTAAGAAAGACATTCGTCTTCTACATTTTGGAAAGCTTATACAGGTTAATCTAGATCTTCGGAGACACGGAAAGAATTTTTAAAATGTCGTTTTCTATTGAATGATAATGTAATGTTGCAGATATTTAGTTTTTTAATTGCATAATTATATGGAGCTCTTAATAACTGTTCACGAATATTTTATCCAGTCAAAGACATGATAAAAAATGATCTTTTAACATTTTAAATTAAGTTTCATGTTTGTGGGATATCCTGTATCTTGAAACAGAAATTAAATTAAAAATTATATTTTATGTTTTAGAATTTTCATATTTCAGGGTTTAGCAAACTTCCATTCTCACACTGGTATAGTTGAGCAGAGAAGCTATATTGATGGTGTTTGCCATGGTCCTGCTACACTACATACCCCACAGGTACTTATATATACTTTACAGGTACACACTCCACAGGTACCTTATACATACTTTACAGGTACATACCCCACAGGTACCTTATACCCCACAGGTACCTCATACATTGCACTTCACAGGTACATACCCCACAGGTACCTTATACAATATACATACTTTATAGACAGACCCAATATTATTTATTATTTTGTAATCATTATTATTGTTATTATTATTATCATTATAATTATTATTATTATCATTATTATTATAATAGGGAGATACAGAGGAAAGAATGTATGAAGAGGGGAAGCTACACGGAACTGCTACTTTTCTCTCCCACACTGGGGATAAAGAGGAGAGATGTTATGTGTCCGGAAGGTATTATAGAAATGAACATCTCGTTGATCACCCCAAACTAACCAGAGTGAGAAGCATTTGGTATTTTTTATTTGAAATAAAACGTGTTTTGGTCTATGATTCAACAATCTTTAAACTTACAGATCTGTTTATTTATACTTTTTCATTCAAAACGTATATACTGAAACTAAGTATTTAAGAAAATAGGTTAAAAATTATGTATAATGGGTCAAATTGTGATCGAAAGTCGCAGCTTTCTGAAATATTGACAGAACCGTTAAATCCACGTGTGATGTCTATTTTCAAACATTCACAGTAATTCTATATCATTTTGAACTTTGGCAAGTTCGTTGTGTATGTGCACTATGTGTACTGTATAAGGGATGTTAAAAGATGTAAATATACAAGGTACTAATGCAAGGAAAGTTATATGTACGCATTTTTTGTCTGCAGTGTACTGTCTTTGGGCGGAAAAGTAAACACAAGACAGATGTCACAGCCTGAAATGGAATCCATTTTTACAAAAATAATCTATAAAGTATTCTGGTCATAGGAAACTATAATGTGAATTTTCAAAATTATCAAAATTAAATGCTTTTAACCTCCTCGAATACTAAACGAACATTGATGTATCTATTCTTGTTTACAAAGTCCACGCAGAGAGAATTGATTTCAATATGTACGAAGAGTATACGCGACCGCAATTAACTTTCCTTGCATTAGTATCTAGCAATCAGTATCAGAGATGAATTATGGTATACAGAAAAATTAATAATCCCCTTGCAGTATATATTCTGCTGTATGGAACTGTTTCTACAATTTGACATCATAATTCCCAAGAATGTAAGGCAAGGACAATTATTTTAGAAGTGTACACATCTTTTGTACTGCAATGTACTGTCTCTGGGCGCTAATGTAAACACAAGACGGATGTCGAAGCCTGACATTGGATCCATCTTTCACATTAAAAAATCAATGAAATATTCTGGTCATAGGAAATTATTATGTGAATTATCAAAATTATCAAAATTTGATGCTTTTAACCTCCTCGAATACTAAACGAACACTGATGCATCTATTATTGTTTACAAATTCCGCAGAGAGAACTGGTTTCAATATGTACACAGAGTATACACAACCGCAATTGACTTTCCTTGCCTTACATTCATGATAATTCCAATTGTTTACAAAGTATAGTATGGTTAATTTCTGCCTCTACTATCAATCAATCAATATTTGCGATTGTATTAGATGAAACTATATGAACCCCTGTGTTATCCTGTTTTAGAATTTCATGCCGAACGAAATTGACCAAATCTTTTTTTGCATAAAATGTAATAAGCAAACATATCAACTAACATTTTATAAAAGAATCAACATCTCAGATTCTAGGGATTCTAGGGATTCTAGGGGTGCATTTAAAAGTCTAAAAACTTTGAATGTTTAAAACTGAGATAAATACAGTGGAGCCTATTAAACATTAGAAAAGAAATTTGACACAAGTTATAAAATTAAAAGAGTACAATGAACATGAAGCAATGAAATTGTGCAGTATTCACCGTACAGCATACCCATTTCAATTAATAAGTTGAAATATGACCATAGTCAAGGTTATAATGCAAGGAAAGTTAATTGTAGTTGCGTATACTCTGCGTACATATTGAAATCAATTCTCTCTGGGCGGAATTTTTAAACAAGAATAGATGCATCAGTGTTCGTTTAGTATCCGAGGAGGATCAAAGCATTGAATTTTGAAAATTTTGATAATTCACATAATAGTTTCCTATGAACAGAATATTTCGTTGATTTTTATGTGAAAGATGGATCCCATTTCAGGCTGTGACATCCGACTTGTGTTTACATTACCACCCAGAGACAGTACACTGCAGCACAAAAGATACGTACACCTCTGAAGTAACTTTCCTTGCATTATGACCTTGACCATAGTGGTGTTATCATTTACTTTTAAAGCACACAGGACATTATTAAAATGTCGTCTTCTTATACAATTTATTTTTATTATTATTATTAATATTATCATTATTATTTTCATTAATTTCATCATTATTTTTATTATTGGTTTAATTTTCATTTTTATGATCATCATTATAATTATTAAAGGTTGGATGGGACAGCAAAATACTATTATAAATCAGGAGCTGTAGAAACTAGAATTTATGAGAACGGCGTTTTACAGGTAAATATAATGTCGTCTTCAAATGCAAAACACCTATCTACTCGGGTACAGCTGCAACGTTGGAATACTAAAATTGATAGTACAACTATATACCAGGGTACAGATGTAAAGCGGAATACTAATAGTACAACTTTATACTAGGGTACATCTGTAAAGCAGAATACTAATAGTGCAACTATATAATAGGGATAATAGGGTACAGCTGTAAAGCATAATACAAATAGTACAACTATATACTAGAGTACAGCTGTAAAGCAGAATACAAATAGTAAAACTATATACTTGGGTACAGCTGTAAAGCAGAATACTAATAGTACAACTATATACTAGAGTACAGCTGTAAAGCAGAATACAAATAGTAAAACAATATACGTGGGTACAGCTGTAAAGCAGAATACTAATAGTACAACTATATACTAGAGTACAGCTGTAAAGCAGAATACTAATAGTACAACTATATACTAGGGTACAGCTGTAAAGCAGAATACTAATAGTACAACTATATACTAGGGTACAGCTGTAAAGCAGAATACTAATAGTACAACTATATACTAGGGTACTGCTGTAAAGCAGAATACAAATAGTACAACTATATACTAGGGTACAGCTCTAAAGCAGAATAATAATTGTGCAACTATGATATACTAGAAACAACTGTTACGCAGAATACTAATAGTCCACCTATTTTCTCGGGTACAGCAGTAACGTAAAGTGCTAATAGAACACCTGTAAACTAGCGTACAGCTGTTAAGCAGAATAATAATAGTGCACCTATATACCAGGGTACAGCTGTAAAGCAAATACTAACAGTACAACAACATATTAGGGTACAGCTGTAAAGGAGAATACTAATAGTACAACTATATACTAGGGTACAGCTGTAAAGCAGAACACTTATAGTACAACTATATACTAGGGTACAGCTGTAAAGCAGAATACTAATAGTACACCTTAATACTAGGGTACAGCTGTAAAGCAGAATACTAATGGTGAGGTGGAGGAGAGGAATTATAAAGATGGAAAGCTGAATGGTCAAGCTACAGTCCTGTATCCAGATACTAGCAAAGAGATTAGAAATTACAAGGTATTTATGTATTTCACAAAAATGAGAATTTAAAGCAGTATTTTTTTTTAAGTAATTTTTTTGCTCGATCTCTCTCATCATCTACCTCATGATCGTTCTACTCCAGCATCGTTCTACCTCATGATCTTTCTACCTCATGATCGTTCTACTCCACGATTGTTTTAACTCATGATCAAATTGACTCATGGTCCTTCTTCTTCATGATCGTTCTAACCCATGATTTGTATATCTTATAATCTTTCTACTCAAGACCGTTTTACCTCATGATCGTTCTACCTCATGATTGTTCTACCTAATGATCCTTCTACCTCATGATCATTCTACCCCATAGTCCTTTTACCTCATGATCGTTCTACCTCATTATTGTTGTACCCCATGATTGTTCTTTCTCATGATCTTTATACCTCATGATCTTTCTTCCTCATGCTTGTTCGATGGTCCTTCTACCTCATGATCTTTCTATATCATAATTGTGTTTCCTCATGACTACCTCATAATCCTTCTTCCTCATGATCGTTCTACCTCATGATCGTTCTACCTCATGATCTTTCTACCTCATGATCGTTCTACCTCATGATCGTTCTACCTCATGATCGTTCTACCGCATGATTATTCTACCTCATGATTGTTCTTCCTCAAGATCGTTCTACCTTATAATCGTTCTACCTCATAATTGTTATACCTCATGATCGTTCTATCCCATCGTCCTTCTACATCATGATCGTTTTACCTCATGATCTTTACATCCCATAATTGTGTTTCTTCATGACTACCTCATATTTGATTATCCTATATTTCATTACAGGATAATAAACTAACTTATATTTCATTACAGGATATTAAACTAACCTATATTTCATTACAGGATAATAAACTAACCTATATTTCATTACAGGATAATAAACTAACCTATATTTCATTACAGGATAATAAACTTACCTATATTTCATTACAGGATAATAAACTTACCTATATTTCATTACAGGATAATAAACTAACCTATATTTAATGACAAGATAGTAGACTAACCTATATTTGATGACAGGATAATAAACTTACCTATATTTGATTACAGGATAATAAATTAATCTATATTTGATTACAGGATAATAAATTAACCTATATTTGACTACAGGATAATAAATTAACCTATATTTGATTACAGGATAATAAACTAACCTATATTTGACTACAGGATAATAAATTAACCTATATTTGACTACAAGATAATAAACTAACCTATATTTGACTACAGGATAATAAACTAACCTATATTTGACTACAGGATAATAAACTAACCTATATTTGTTTTCAGGAAAATAAACTAACCTATATTTGAATACAGGATAATAAATTAACCTATATTTGACTACAGGATAATAAATTAACCTATATTTGACTACAAGATAATAAACTAACCTATATTTGATTACAAGATAATAAACTAACCTATATTTGATTACAGGATAATAAACTAACCTATATTTGACTACAGGATAATAAACTAACCTATATTTGACTACAGGATAATAAACTAACCTATATTTGACTACAGGATAATAAACTGACCGGCTCGGCTGCTCTCTTCTCTGCCTCAGGGGAGAGAATTGAGTTCGAGTACAAGGATGGAGTTGTACATGGACCTGCTAAGATTAGGTGAGTTGTACATTGTACAAGGATGAGGTTGTGCATGGTTTTGCTAAGGTTATGAGAGTTGTACAAGGATGGTGTACATGAACCTAAATAGGTTAAGTTGTAAATGGGCCTTTTAACCCTATTCCTGCTGGGGGGGGTCAATTTGACCCCCCCCCTGTAGTTTTTTTTACATAACTCAAAAAGTATTGGTCTGAGGCTGTTGAAATTTTCTGACTTTTCCTACATACCCTCCCTGTAGGCCTAAAACCGGGCTTTAATTCTAACTGCCTGAGTCCTCAGACACACTGCCTGAATGACTGCTTTTTCCTGTAACAAACTAAATCTTTGTTTTGACCCACTTCCACATGTCAGATTTTGATAAAATTTAGCTTTTTGGAAAGCCTTTGACATAAGGAAACGAATTGCACAAGTTTTGCGAAAAAAAATTGCAAATTTTTTGCAAACAATCTGTCAAAGGAAATTTGCACATTTTTAGTTTTTCTTGATTAAAAATCAGGTTATTTAAAATTTGCAAAAATTTTTGCATATTTGAAATGGCATGGTCAAGGGCTTTTCAAAAATGTAAAATTTTTCATTTTTTGGAAAATTTTTTTTTGCAAACATTTTTACTATATAACTGGATTTTGCGATAAAAATTCAATTTTTTCAAATTTGCGATTTTTTTTGCAGATTCTTAAAGTAGAGCACAAGAGCTTTCCAATGATGTATCATTTGTCATATTTAGACATCAAACATGGGATTTAAGGGGGGGGGTCAAATTGACCCCCCCCCCCCAGCATATCCTGGTTTTCAAGTACCCCAGCAGAGATAGGGTTAAGCATAGATGAGTTAAACATGGACGGTGTTGTGCAATGTAGATTGAACAACTGCATTAATTTTTTTAACCACAGCGAAGTATTAAAATCATAGAGATATTTTATGACTGATATCTATATATACTTTGCTTGTCTGGGTGTCTGTCTGCCTGTTTGTCTGTTTGTATCCAATAAACGTCAAAACGGCTGAACCTTATTTTGTGTGGGACCTCATGTGACCCCAGGAAGGATTTATGAATGATCAAAATTTTAAAAAATTTGTGTTTTCCACTTTTATAAGATTTTGAAAATGCGCTAAGAAATATTACGAAATTTTCAAACTTTTTTTTACTGTACGAAGAGAAGATGTTTGGAGATAAAGCCAAAATTAAAAGTTGAAATGGGCGTGAAGCACCCTAAAAGCCTAGTAGGTAGTGTATCTTCCCGCACTTGCCCTTCTTTAATGAAGACGACATTAGTTAGCTACACAATATTAATTTATGTATACAGGGGAGGAGGGGACCTTGAAGAATGTATCTACGTGAACGGAGTAAAGCATGGAAAAGCTACATATACATGGAAAGCCGGGCATAAGTAAGTATCTAACTTTAACAAATTTTTAAAACACAAAAAATTCCTAAACCTCCGGTGTTTTTGAAATCTCTCTTTTTGTCAACCCTGTTTTTTTCTAATCAAATTTAAAAATACATTTGCTTCAAAAATATATTAATCTAATAGAATTTATGTATTCAATTTCAAGGATTTAATATTTTAAAAATGAAAAAATAATGAATCAATGATTATTTTTCAGAGAGGAGTTTGTTTATGATAAGGGTGTAAAGAACGGCCCTGCTGTGCTCTATGGGGTGAGCGGAGCGACAAGGAAGGGTCAGCTTAAACAAGGGAAATGGCATGGAGAGGCTAAATACACTGCACAGGTATGGCTGGGAAAACTTCAAAAAAGGGATCAGATACTTATTGTTGAAGAGATAGTAATTTCGATAGTTTTAAGCTTAAAGGGACTGTAAGCGTAATTTCAGGTGATTCTCCATGCAAAGATGGCAATGCTCTATTTACAATGGTACCCTTGCAACCTTAATCTGAGCAAAAATGTGGAAGAAACCGTCGTTTTTCTGAATCGGAAAGTACTTCAGAAACAAAAACATTGATATCTAATTGATACTTGATCAGAAAAAGCTTCCAAGGGTACCCTTGTAAATCGGGTATTGCCATCTACGCATGGAGGGTCACTTGAAGTTACTCTTGCAGTCCTTTTAACTAAATAAACAAAAATGATAAAAAAGTTAATAAAATAATGTTAATCTAAAGAGCATAGAACTTAGAAGCCGGGCAAAGCATATTAGGCAGTTTGAGAGCGGGCATCATTTGAAAATAAACAAAAAAATCTGCTAACAAACATTTTAGTCAATAACTCCGACATATTTTGATAAACAAATTACAATAGTTTAATCTAGGATGGAGAGGTCCGAAAAGAACTCTGGGATAACGGACAAAGAGTTTAATCCAAGTAGAAGAAAAACTCTCACTTTACTCATTTGTAGAATTAACTCTGTACCTCTAAAACCATACTTTATAGAATTTAGTTGGATAAAAACTCTAAAATTTAGTTTATTGTTTATGTAAATAATCTTTGGTTTGAATTACGATCATTGTAATATTTGGTCTAATGGTCCTCATTGTATCATGAAATGTATTTGTTCTCTTTTTTTAAGTAGTTTTTTATGTTTGATTTAAATTAAATTAAAAATACTTAGTTATGATTTTTAAAGGTTTATTTTAGAAAATATTAATTTGTCTTTTATTTGGCCCGGTGTGATCATGATTATTTTTTAACGTCATTAAACCTGAATTACAAGTTTTGTAAATTGCAATCAGTAGAAAACTTAGTTTTTTTTTGTAACAAAATGTACCTCAAAGTAGAACTTATATAGAATTAATATTAAATCTAAATTAAAATATTTTAATCAAAAGAAACAATATATAGTTATATTAATATATAAACATACATCTAACACTAATTATTAATTTTGTAATATATACTTTATTTTAACCTTTTATTTGTTGTAGCTAACAGAATAAAAATAAATATTCTTAATTTTTTTTCTTCATAGATTGTGGATTGTTCTGGATTCCATTTTAGAAAAGTACAAAAAAAAACGATAAATTATAATACAATATTTAATAATAACAACAAATTAAAAATATGAGAAAAAATTAGCAAAATAAAAAATAGAAAAATTATCATGAATGTTATTTATTTTACTGTTACTTTTTGATCGTATGGTTGAACAAAGATTTATATTTGTAAAAGATAATTCTAAATTGACATTATATCTTCAGCTCTTTTATCTAAAAAAAATGTCATAAAATGGCGAAACCCAGAAATGATTTGGAAAAATGCAAAAATAATCAAAAATAAATATCATATATATTAAACATTATATATATACTGAAAAGGGTTGTCATTGCATTGAATGTAAAAAGTGGGGGCGGTCACATATTTTTAAAAAAAACCTGAATAAATGCGTTTATAAACCATTTAAGTACAAATTGTATGTTGTACACAACTACAATTTTTTCATGTTTTGCGATTCGTAGGTAATGTACTGAATTTGTTGAAGACATGTACACATGTACATGTCTTCAACAAGCACATGTCAAGTACTGAACTTGTTTAAGACATGTACATGTGTACTGAACTTGTTGAAAACATTTACAGGTTAAGTACTAAACTTGTTAAAGACATGTACAGGTTATGTACAGAACTTTTTGAAGAAATGTATAGGCTATGTACTAAACTTGTTGAAGACATGTACAGGTTATGTACTGAACTTGTTAAAAACATGTGCAGGTTATGTACTGAACATTTTGAAAAAATGTAGAGGTGTTGTGCTGAACTTGTCAAAGACATGTACAGGTTATGTACTAAACTTGTTGAAGAAATGTAAGGTTATGTACTGAACTTGTCAAAGACTTGTACCAGGTTTTGAATACCCTTTAGGTAGTTTTCATCCAGATGACCGGCCCCGTCCCATACATGGGCAAAATCAATCATTGTCACACGAACAGCCGTAGACAACTAAAAATAAAAACATATATACACACTAGATGAAATGTTCGGCGTTGCCCGTGGAATTTTAGAAACACTTACAAAAAAAATTTTGAATTTTTAAAAATCCCCAGGATACCCGGCCATGCATTTCCTCAAAAAATGTCAGCCAATTTGGTCCAGCCGTTTGGCCAGTCATAGCTGACATATAAACAAATATACAAATGTATATATATATATATATATAAGCGAAGAGATTGTTTTATATAAGAGATACATGTGGGCAAAAATTTTAAAGAATCTGAAGAATTATGAAAAGTTCGACATTTGGGGGATAAATATTTATGTTTTATGTTTTTAGCAAACACATAAATTTCACTAGAAGTGGTTTGTTCATTTGGCGTACCGTCCCTTTTTGCCTTATAGTGTACAGTTTACTGTGCATTTTGCTTTAGCAGGTTTAAAGTCGGCCTGGTTAATAAAATGAAGAGGACTTTCCAGTGAAAAAACGTTTGACTACAATTTGAAATGCTCAGAAGTACAATTTTATATTTTAACATTAATGTGTCTTCTGATGCATTTCCGCTCCCAATTAACTTATTTTGTTATTTGGGTTCTTCCCCTTATTAATATTTTGCTATCACTCCCTTTATTATACCTTATCCAATTGTACAGTTCCCTCTGTGTACTTTTCCAGTACATGAGCATCATAAACAAACAACAAGCTACTCCCGTACATATGGTATACGGTTTGTTTACTAACAATGGATCAAGTTATTTTTACCAATTTATATAAAATGTCAATCAAAAAAGTTGATGTTGTTGCAATATATATTTGGACTATTTCGAAACATTTTGGAAATATTTTGATATCATAAAAATATTAGAAAATATTTGAAATATTTCAGAATTTTTAGAATTTTATTGAAATTTTGTTGTAAAAATTGTTATCCCTGAAGAGATCAAGGATTGGGTTAAGCTTCTCAACCAGAATCCGTCCTAGCGTCTTCGCAGCTGTCTCGTTACTCATAGAGTCTAGAATATTATCAGCTGGTTGAAGGATACAATCAGCTAGGTTGATTGACATAATCAGCTGCTTGAAGGGTACAAGCAGCTGTTCAGTGACATGATCAGCTCTTTGAAGGATACAATCAGCTGTTCAGTGACACAATCAGCTGTTTAATGACATATTCATGATACAATCAGCTGTTTTTAGGATATAATCAGCTATTTTGTGACATAATTAGCTGTTTTAAGTATAAAATTAGCTGTTTTTATGATACAATCAGCTGTTTCAAGGATAAAATCATATGTTTCCAATATATCTTCATCTGTTTTAAAGATATATTTTCAGTGGTTTTAAGGATAAAATCAGTTGTTTCAATGACATAATCAGCTGTTCAATGACATAATCAGCTGTTCAATGACATAATCAACTGTTTTAAGTATTTATTATCATCTGCTTAAATGGTACAATAAACTGTTTTAGGGATAAAATCAGATGTTTCAAGGATATAATTTGCTGTACAAGGATATAATCAGCTGCACAAGGATACAATCAGCTTTTTCAAGAATATAATCAGCTGTTCTCTGTACAAGGATACAGTCAGCTGTTTAAATAATATAATCAGCTGTTCTATTTAAGAAATCAAATAAAGTATAGTCAATCATGAGTTATCGGAATAGTGGATTTTTTTTTTAAATTTTGTCTTTAGATAAAAATTAAGACAATATTTTGCTAGAAGATAATTTCATTTCTTTTTAAGGTTTCCACGAAATTAAAAAAGTTTACACAATTTTCGCACCTCTTTTGTGCATGAAGCGCAAAAAAGCGCATTTTTGTTTTTCGTAATTTGCGCAAGACCGGAAATACTGCTTTTATATAAATTAAGATTATATTTTTGTAAAATAATATCATTTATTTCTCACCTAAATAATTTACCATAAAATCCTCGATATTTGACTCATTTAATCCTTTTCCATAATCCTGAACATTTTTTTTTCATTTTCAACTTATTAATATAATCCGCTAATCTACAACAAAAAATATAAAATGATAGTTTTTCAAACTTGGATATTTGATTGATATTTAAAAATTATTGTAAAATGTTCCTTGTTTAATATTGTAAAAGTATCTCTGGTAGATCCCGTGTAAATACTCATCCCCAGGATACTAAATCCAAACGGCTTCTTAGTTCCTAAATATTAAAATCATTTTTAGCAACTTTTAAATCTAAGCTGATGCTGATAATTAAAAGAGGTTTAAATAAAATGCTAAATTTTAAAAGACACTTATGGAGGAGAGAGGGTTTATAAAAATTACCGCTATAGCTGGCATCTTGTTTAGCAATTTTCTCTTGGTTTGCGTCTGGTCCGTAGGTTTTGGCTCCGATCTTTACATCCATTATACAGGGCTTAGTCAACCCTTCAGAGGACATATCATTCAACATAAATTCGATTGATTGAAGGACGTCCTCATATTCTACAGTTTTTTGGTCACAATGTATAAAAGTTATTAAATTAAAATTATAATAGTTCATAACCATGAAACATCCTAAGTTTTGATGTACAAGAAAGGCAGCCTATATTTTGGTATCTTGAGTATTTCATAAATATTGAATTTTACTGTTTGATTACCCTAATTTAAAAAAAAATAGTTTATTTACTAAAAACAAAAACATTATATTGATTTTTATCGACGTTTTGTAGCTTATGCTGAAATAGGGAATACATGAACAATCTGTTACAGAATTAATTTGGAGAAAATAAAATAATTTTTTTAAAAAAAATTCTATAAAAAGATGCCTAGGGCTCAAAAGGCTATATAGCATAAATGTGTGAAGTACGCCTTCAGTATGGAAACATTACAATAATTGGCGGTTTTTTCGAGTAAATTCCACTCTACATTAATCTATTCTCTCTGGTTTTAATCCAAGATTGGAAGATTAAATTTTAAAATTTCAAAATCACTTAAGATTCTAAATTTTTTTCTTTTTTCAATTTAAACGCTCATACAGTGGGTCCAGTGCAGTGGTACAAAAATGTTAAAATTTCTAAATATTTTCGAAAAGTTTATAAAAATCAAATCAAAGTATTTGAATGACTCTCTTTCCTTGAGTGAGGTTTTCTATCATAAGAAACTCTGCTAGATCTCCATCTTTATTCTTCTAAAAAAAAAATTTTTTTGAGGATGGTAAAAAGTTTTTTTTTCAGTAAAAAAATTTAATCTTTGTCCCAAACTCAGATATAAATTCTATTCGATAAAATTTGATCTAAGTTTTAAAAATATCAAAGGTTACTTCAAGCTGCAAATAAAATTTAAATTGATTGCAAAGACTTAATTTCTTCATTAGCAAAGTTTGTTATGCCTTGACATATTTTACGTATTCCTATTATTTGTTTAATTGATTTAATCAAATTATATCGATTTAATTACTATTTCAGTTTTTGATAGCTCGTTATCTAAAGGTTGAATATTGATAATTTGTTCTTGAACTGTGTACACTCATTTTACTTTTGATTTAACTGTATTGGTCTTTCAAGTAAAATTAGCAGCACCAAAAAAGAATTTCAATTTTAAGATTTTAAAATTTGAAATTAAATCAACCATTTTAGAAACTTCAAATACTTTTCCATTAGTCTCATTTTCCAACTGTTAAATACCTTTTTACAAGATCCGTAGTATTTTGGGAGAAAAGTTTGAAATTCAACTTTTTGTGGATCCTGGCTTGAAAAAACCTCCTCATAGAAATTCTTTTCTCTAAAAATACAATATAGACACTGTACGCAAATCTTCTTTATTTATATCAATCATGTTTAAAAGTTATTTGTATTCTAATTGTTGATTTGTTTACTCTATATTTAGATAATTGTGCTTTATATACACTATACAGTGATAACCAGAAAAGTATGAAATAGGAAGATTACTTTTAGAATCATGTTATAACTTTAACAAGTCCAATTCTCTAGATTAGTGATTAAATAAGTGCCTAGTAAAACTGTTTGCTTTGTAACAACATCAGATACTTTAAAGTGTTGTAATTAATGTTAAATGTCGTCTTTCTATACTATTGTTTACCTTACACCCCTCGGAGGCGCCTGAAAAAAAAATTATTAGAAAATGTTTGTCTTTTAAATGTTAAAATTTGTTTTTACCTGGATTGGTTTCAAAATACAACCATTCTTTCCAGTTAGAATTGCTTGTTTAGCATCGTGAGAACCATGCCCGGCTACCTAATCAATTTTATTCATTTATTTTACGTCAAAATAGACCTAAACCATTTATTCATTTATTTCACGTCAAAATAAACCTAAATCATTTATTCATTAATTTCACGTCAAAATAAACCTAGTCAATTTATTCATTCATTTCACGTCAAAATAGACCTAATCAATTTTTTCATTCATTTCACGTCAAAATAGACCTAAACCATTTATTCATTCATTTCACGTCAAAATAAACCTGATCAATGTATTCATTAATTTCAAGTCAAAATAAAACCTAAACCATTTATTTATTCATTTCAAGTCAAAATAAACCTAATTAATTTATTCATTCATTTCACGTCAAAATAAACCTAAACCATTTATTCATTCATTTTACGTCAAAATAAACCTAATCAATTTATTCATTCATTTCACGTCAAAATAAACCTAATCAATTTATTCACCCTTTTCACGTCAAAATAAACCGAATCAATTTATTCATTCATTTCACGTCAAAATAAAACTAAACCATTTATTCATTCATTTTACGTCAAAATAAGCCTAATCAATTTATTCATTCATTTCACGTCAAAATAAACCTAATCCATTTATTAATTCATTTCACGTCAAAATTTAAACCTGTGTATAAAATCTTATGTTTTCAATATTTAATATGTAACCAGGAACCGAAATGAATGAATTTGAGCTACGCGGCTGAATTACCTTCTGCTGGTTTAAATGTGATTCAATGCCTTAATGATTGAGTAAGGATTTGAATAGGTTATTTAAATTTGAACCGGCGGTAGGCAGTTCTAATCAAATTCATTAAATTCGCTCCCAACCAGATAAAATTCCTTTTCTCATACTTGTGTATAAAATTATTTAATGTCAAATTTATTTAATGACAAATCCTACATAGTGTCTATTTGTGCTTCTTTACGTGAATATATTCATATTTCTTTAATCACGTGATTAGTTATACATTAGTTATACATTAGTTATACATTAGTTATACATTAGTTATACATTAGTTATACATTAGTTATACATTAGTTATACATTAGTTATACATTTTTAACAAGTTTAGTCCTTTCTTTCTAGATTATAAAACAGTTTAATGAGTAAATTCAGATTATGAATTCTTCCCAAGATTACAGGGTGTCCCATTAAACATGGGCTTAAATGAAGTTTTCGAAAATTTTCTTTTTCAATTTATTCTGTGATCACTCTTGGTCTACAAGTTTTTTTAAAATTTAGCCATTCCAACAAACTCTGATTTTATAATACATCTTTGCAGGCCAATATCAGGTTGCAAAGATATAGGGAATAAAGAATTTGAGTTTGTGGCAACAACTCAATTTCTTTCCGTCGTGTTTGAAGATGTAGACAACGGTAGACCACACCTAGAATATGATAAGAAATTCAAAAATTAGATTAACCTTATTAGATTAACCTTATTAGATTAACCTTATTAGATTAACCTTATGTATAAACATTATCAAATGCTTTGAATGAAAATCAAGTTATCATTTAATTTTTATTTTCATCCTGACACCCTGTATAGATTGCATATAGTATAGAGTACCAAAATTCCCCTTCGTTGAACCCAATTCCCCAAAGATAATAATCCCAGGAGGAAAGTGTGCCCCCTTATCCNACCAACACCAATATTGCCACATCAGGGGGAATATTCCCGCCCTGTAGTAAATGCCCTACTCTATTAGAGGATCTCAAACCTGTATCTATCCAGGTAAAATTCGTCAGCTATCAATGTCAATTGGACACAATAATAAGCAAAATATTGTGAGCTATCTATATCAATCGGAAGCTCGTAACAATCAATCCCAAACTAATGGGCACGATCTAAACTATTATGTTTCAACTAGGACCACCCATCAATTTCAATAGAGACACAAGCTCTTAATCGATCAATGCCAAACCAATGGGCACAATCCTCGACTTGTTTGTTAAAACAAGGAACGATTACTCTCTCGCAGTAAACAGTATGGAGTCTCTATATCAACTAATGTTTTTGAGGTTTATATTTCACAAGTTAAAGTTAATAGACGTAATTACAATTCCTACGTTGTTATCTATATCACATGATTAAGACAATCATGTTACGTATTTACAGCACAGTTAGAATAGACGCAATTAAGATTTACGTCATTATATATCACATGATTAAGCTAATCATACTATGCATTGATTTGAAGCCCAGTTAAAAAATTGAAGTTTACCAACGTAGATATATAGCAATGTACAACGTAGTTTAGGTTTACTGCAGATATCGTGTTACGCGATATTTATTACATTCCCCAACAATTCATTTTTCCCCAGGGTCCTGTCTAGGGGGAGGGGGAGGCGATGGAACAAATTGAAAAATAAATAATATCAAATTGAGAATAATTTACAATATTTTCAAACTAAACAATCCATGACACGTGTTACAAATTTGTACTTATTCATAAAAATAAAAATGAAATGAAATATCAAATGATTTGAATAAATTGAAAAATGAATTTTTCACTGCAGATACTTAGGGATCTATAAAACAATTTTTATTTATGTGATTTATGTGCATTTGATGGTTTTATGAAGCAAATTGGATTACTAGTTCTAGTAACGTGTTTGGCCAGCTATAGTGAACATGTAAGTGGACGAAGAGCTGTTTCTATCATATAGATTAAAAGAATTATGTGCAGTGTATAAAACTGTACACAGTAAAATTACACCTATATTATAGGGTTGTAAAATGTATGTAGCTTTAAGTCTTTCATAGTATAAATGTGCCATGGCCATTTTCTAGCAATATTGTTTCTATTTATCTTATTTCCAGCAATCATATCTGCAGACTTATTTTACCTGGGGCAAAGGAATAATTTCCTCAACACTGTCCTTTCTCCAAATGTCTAAAAAACAGTAAGTTATTCTGAGGCCGAATTTAAAGAATTTGAGCCGCGGCTCAAATATGATTGGTTTTACTTAAAATTGTATTAAATTTTTTAAGATTTAATCCGGAGCACAATTGAAACCAGTTTGGTGGGAATTTGAGAAGCGGCTTCATTTCATTAAATTCGGACACTGATTAAACAACATTATTTTATCATGTTAATAATTTTATTGTTTTTTCTTTTTCTTTAATTTTCTTTTTAAAGATTTTAACAAGAAAGCAAAAATTCTGATATTAGTATTTAAGTATTTTAGTATTTAATCTTAAAGACACTCTCAACCTATTCTCTAGTCCTCATCCTTTTAAAAAGGATGATGCCCGATTGGCAGGTTGAAAGTGTCCTTGTTTTTCTTTCTAAAATTGTATAGTTTTTAATTGCGGTTTATCTATAAAAGTCAAAGAAAGTTGTTGACAGATTTTTAATTCTTCTCTGCAAGAAAAATAACGATATCTCCCTGATTGAATTGCTCAGATAAAAGTTTGAAGGTTATGATGTTATTATTTAAATGGTAGGTCATCAAATTTTGTCTATGTTGGTCACTCACGAACTGACAAATTTAAAAATCGCATTATACCGCTTTATATCGCATTGTTTATTGTTTGATGTTTATCTTTAAATGAAACTGAACAATAATGTCAAAATATTTATAAAATTTTCAAATTGTGAGATTCAAATTGTTAGCAAATAAATGAACTTGAAATGCCAAACATTAATCTAGTATTTACTATTGGTAGTGTTTTATCTTTCTTGAATAAAATTGATTTGATGTTACACTATCGTTATCGTATTCTCTTGTGGATTTTTTTTAACGTTAAAATAAAATTTAAAATACATTTTAATCGATGATTTTTTTTGATTTTTTTGATTTTTTTGCCCCCGTAAAATTTAGGTAACCTTTTGTGATTCAGAACGGTACCGTTTAAAATATAATTTTCAATTTTAGAAAAGATGTTTTCCTCATTGTTACTCTAATAAATGTTTATTGGGTACCGTTGTGAATTGGAAAGTCCTTTTAAATAGAAATTTTAGAAATAAAACAGGTTTTTAATTTAATATGTTAATACCTGTTGTAATAATCTGAAGTGCCCTCTTCCTCCAGGGTCTCAATCCATCTCCTCCTCTCCCTCCTTTCCCTCCTTTTCCTCCTTTTCCTCTTTCTCCATCTTCTTCTTTTCCTCCTTCTCCTTCCGGTTTAGTTCCTTAAACAAATTAAACTGATTTTCCTAACACTGTTTGTTCAGCTTTTAATTGATTCAGGACTTATGAAGATAATATTGTTATCAACAGATAATATTGTTATCAACAGATAATATTGTTATCAACAGATAATATTGTTATCAACAGATAATATTGTTATCAACAGATAATATTGTTATTAACAGATAATATTGTTATCAACAGATAATATTGTTATCAACGGATAATATTGTTATCAACAGATAATATTGTTATCAACGGATAATATTGTTATCAACGGATAATATTGTTATCAACAGATAATATTGTGATCAACGGATAATATTGTTATCGACAGATAATATTATTCCTGAGTAGAGATTGCTTTTCACGTGGTTTAACTTTCTTTTAAAATGTTTTATTAGATTTAATTCGAATTTTTTAAATTAAAAAAAAAAACTTTCGGAAGTTCTTAAAATGTTAGCTGTAGCCTGTAAGTAGTTAAACAAGTTATGCTACTGTTTTTCTCAACTTTACAAAGGATATGAATACTTGCATCAAACTCAAATGGTTTAAACCCTATACCTTACAACCTGATGGTGTAAACCCTATACCTTCCAACCTGATGGTTTAAACCCTATACCTTCCAACCTGATGGTGTAAACCCTATACCTTCCAACCTGATGGTGTAAACCCTATACCTTCCAACCTGATGGTTTAAACCCTATATCTTTGAAATACAAAATGTTGTAAAACTTCAATTTTTCAAATAGTCCTCAATCCGTGCTCATGTTTGTTTAAACTCCCTGTGTTGTCAACCCTTATCAATTTCCTGTTTTAATGTGTCAACCTACCAAAGTATCTAGATCTCAACTCGTTCATACTAAAAGGCATTTTTAACTTAAAAATTAAATGGAATTGATAATCATCGAAAAAAAAACTGCAGGTCACAGGTTTTATTGTTAAGATTAAAGTTAACAAACTTATAAACGGACAGACGGGGTTGCCAAATTGTAAAAACATATTTATCAAAGAAAATGTTTAACTTCATATCGTATTTCCAACATGTGTAATGTATATTGCTCTCATCAGACTCAAATACTGGGGCGGAAAGAAAAGAAAACGATTGAAAAGATTCCATTTTTTAAAAATGCATTCATTACTAATAATATTCAGATTTTTTCTTTTTATATATAATAAAGCTCGTCGCTTATGTATATATGTTAGCTATATGTTGGACAAACGGCTGAACCCAATTTGCTAAATTTTAAAAGGAAACCCCGGAGGTTGAAAAAATTCAACGTGTTTTTAAATTCCACAAGCAACGCAGGGCACTTGAGCTATTTTCTAATAAACCTTTATAAGAAAATCTCTTAAAATGCTTAATTTACAATCTTGACAATTTTTATGATGAATAACTTGAATTTCTAAACCTGTATTTTAATGCAAATTTAAAAATTGCTAAAATATGCAACATTAAGCTTTACTTGCAAAGGAATTGAGTCTTTGCAACAAATTTTCAATTCCCTATATCTTTTCATGCTAATAGCGTAAACCTTGCATAGTTAAACTTCCATTATTTAATATAACAGAATTCATAGTTTAAAATATCTGTGTTGTGTTGCGAAAATATAATAATTATAAAATCAGAGTTTGAGATTATTTTACAAAAATTTTCATTGCCGCGAAAATTTTTGTTTTCTTTCACATTTTCGTTGGCTGAACAAAATTTTCGTTATAGAGATTGAACGAAAATTTGGTAATTAACCCTAAATTTGAGTCAAAGACTCAATTTTCTGGATTCCTACAACGTTCAATTTTATCTAAAAATAATTGTCACAATTTCTACTTTAAATTTTTCAGCATTTTTCTGAATTTGTTGATTTTTAAAATAGGAAAATAAAAAAGCGACTTTTATTTGAGTCAAGTTTAGAAGAATAAAATTTTTTGGTGATTTTCTTAAAATATTTTTAGAAATAATTTTTCCCAAATTTTAACTTCCTAGTTTTGCATTTTTTCAATTTTCAATTTTCCCAATTTGAATTTGGGATCGTTCAATATTGGAATCTGCTAATTGATTATATAAAATTCATTGTATTATGAATCATTTATTAAGTTTCCACATTCCACAAATGTGAACAGTTTACTGCTATATACAAGTGTTTTTTTATCTTACGCACACTATTGATAAAAATATTTAAACTTTCTTCAAGGAGAAAAAAATATTTTTACGCATGCATAATCCGTAATTTTTTTTAAACCACGTGTGCAAAACAAAAATTTTATGAATTGAAATGTACAAATAAATTTTTTAAAAACTTTTTTTTAACTGAACAAATACTAAATTTCCTGACAGTTATGGCACTAAGGTGTAAAATTTGTTTATTTAAAAACTTGAAAATTGTAGAGGGGACTTATGATAAACAGGGTGCAGTCAATTTAACACTTAAATTGACTGCGATATTTGAAGTGACCCTACAAAACATGTGTGTACTTCTCCATAGATCTCCAATAAACATAATTGTGATTTGATTATTTTAAGATTTCAATGTTAGGTGCGATTTACTTTAGTTTGACGTCCTCATAGTTGGATCACCCTGAATGATCATAGATCCCCCTGTTTTATCCTGTTTGATCAAACCCTGTCTGATCACCCTGTTTGATCAAACCCTTTTTGATCACCCTGTTTGTTCACCCTATTTGATAACCCTGTTTGATCACCCTGTTTGATCACCCTGTTTGATCACCCTGTTTGATCACCCTGTTTGTTCACCCAATTTGATAACCTTGTTTGATCACCCTGAATGATCACCCTATTCGAAAGAACCCTGTTTGACCACCCTCTTTGATCAAACCCTGTTTGATCACCCTGTTTGATCACCCTGTTTGATTACCCTGAATGATCACCCTATTCGATAACTCTGTTTGATCACCCTGAATGATCACCCTATTCGACAACCCTGTTTGATCACCCTATTCAATGACTCTGTTTGATCACCCTATTCAATGACCCTGTTTGATCACCCTATTCAATGACTCTGTTTGATCACCCTATGTTTGATCACCCTATTCAATGACCCTGTTTGATCACCCTATTCAATGACTCTGTTTGATCACCCTATTCAATGACTCTGTTTGATCACCCTATTCAATGACTCTGTTTGAAGGCTTAAAAGTATAAAAAATCATTTGTTTTTACTTTGTAAACAATTATCTTTAAGATAAACAATGTAAAGATAAGACAAATTGATTAAAATAATTTAGAATACTGTTTTGAGAATTATTTACGTTATTTACGTTATTTTTTTATTTACAAATTGTATTTATTGGCTTTATCTAGCTTTTATATCCTATTGTGTTAACTTAAGCTAAGGCCAACTTGCAGTTTTTAATGTATAAGCATTCTAAAAATTAAGAATAATTTACCCTACCCCCCCCCCATCCCCCTCTGAATTGTATGGGAACTTGTGAATTTTACGATGTTTTTGTGTTTTAGCATGTGTTTATTTCATGTATATCTATTAAAAATATTTTAATATAATTATTAAATTGCAGTTAATACATTAAACAACTTTTGCTTAAACCGGATGAAAGGCCAACTGATATACACAAATTTTAAAAAAATTGTTAATATTTTTTCTAATAACTTAAATATACTTTAAAGTAATGTTTTGTAGTGACATACACAAATTTTCACTTTTTTAAAAATTTTAAAATGATTTACTTTCAGATTATTAAATTGTTTTTTAGCTAAACCATATTAACTTTTCATAAATTACCAATGAATTGAATTAATTAAATTATTTTTAGATTATTATATCTGACGAAATATTTGAAGTTAATCATCCATTGAATATTTTATTATTATGACTGGGGAGGATTCCCCTGAATTATATTCAGATTATTATACCTCTATATCATCAATACTAAAACCATTATTATTCATCAAGTCATCTATCTTAAATTCATCCAGGTTTTGCAACATAATGCTGGGAGAGACACAATTTGCACAATCGGCTGAGAACTTAATAAAAAACTAAATGAAGTGCCCGCAATTGTCCGTTAAATTTTAGAAACACTTTAGAAAAAAAAAATTTGAAAGAAATAAATAGATTTTTGAAGAAAAAAAAATTTGATTTTTTACCCCCAGGATACGTAAGGGCTGTCTAAAAAATTTCAGCCAATTTGGTCCAACCGTTTGGTCAGCTTTTATAGCTAACATATATACATATAAATGAGAGAAGAGCTTTATTAAATAAAAGAAGAAGAACTGGAAATATAAAAAGTATATATGAAAACCCAGGTTATCTATATAATACTTATTTTTTTTGTTGGGCTATGTATTTTAAACATTTAAGTATATAAGTCTTTTTTACGCTCTTTTGGACAAAAGAAATTGAGTCTTTGGCCCAAACTCAAATTTACTAATCCCAATATTTGTATGACTATAGTGGTACGGTGTTAACTTTTGATATTTTAAACTTAGATTAAATGATTTATTATAATTCATAGTTTGAAATGTGTAAAATCTACAGCATTGAGGTTCAAAGATATTGAGATTAGAAAAAATAGGAGTTTGTGGTAAAGACTTAATTCCTTTGCATGAGAGATTAGATATGATTGAAAATATTCCCATACACAAGGACCAATCCATGTCGTAAGTTACAATAGCTGTGCTATTGTAAATCTTTAAGTAAATGGCGACTCACAAGATATATTTTAATCTATAACAGAACAATTGCATTGTAACTCGGTTGTATCAAATGTATATTATATAATGTGCAAACAATACATGAAATCGATGAAAACTTTCACACTAATAATATTTATTTTAGACGTATATGGCGACTCACAAGATATATTTTAATCTATAACAAATCTATATATATAAATATATATATATATAAATATATATATTTAAAGAGTTAGCTTGTTATTTGAAAAGAAGGTTTGAAGATGGTCATGGTCGTTTTTCTAACTAAAAATGATCAAAATTTGGTTGGTCCCTGTAATCAAGTTTTTTCATTCATTTTTCATGCAGTTCAATTCAGTTTCAATTTAAAATCGTTTTCTCTAAAAATTGCGGACTCCGGGCTAGTGCGCCCTCGGGTCAATGATTAACGCGCGTCCTTTGTCGGTCGAATGGGGAGAGTGTTCACGCAAGATCATTTACATGCGTATACGCATACTAGGATAAACTACGCATTTTGCGTAGCATTCCAGATTGATTTACTAAATTTATGATAAAAAGTAAGGAAAATTAAAATATATATTTAAACGATTCCAGTTTTTTTCCGACTGATCAGATAGTTATCAATTTCATAAGAAACTGATTTCAAGACTAACCACAATATTTCGGGAGATAAGATTAGTCCTAAATCTCTCATTCTTTTAACTTAACGTAAAATATTTCGTGTCATATACAAGAATTTTTTCATGCTTTCATCAAATGTTTTCAAAAATGACATGACACGATTTATAATTGACAGTTAATTTATTGGTATCATAGTTTAGTCTTGGGATTAATTTTCTTCAAATAATGTTAAAATTTATATTTATTTTTTGTGCTTATTGCCAAATGAGCAAAAAATCAAATTACTGCATTATTGCAAATTCCGGATTTTGCATGATAAACAGATTTATTGCAAGACATGGTTATATTGCAATGCTTTAAATATAAAAAATGTAGACTTTAAAGAATTCTATCAGGTTTCGTTTAAAAAAAAATTAAATATATGGACAATTGAATTGGGATGAATATGGATGAATATGAATAAAAATGGATGAATAAGGATGAATATGGAAGAATATGGGTGAATATGGATGAATATGGATGAATATGGATGAATATGGATGAATTTGGATGAATATGGATGAATTTGGATGAATATGGATGAATATGGAAGAAAATGGATGAATAATGATACATATGGAAGAAAATGGATGAATAAGGATGAATATGAAAAGAATATGGATGAATATTGATGAATATGAATGAATATAGATGAATATGGATGAATATGGATTAATATGAATGAATATGGATGAATATTGTTGAATATGGATGAATATAGATGAATATGGATGAAAATGGATGAATATGGATGAATATGGATAAATATCAATGAATATGGATTTACATGGATAAATATAAATGAACATGGATGAAAATGGATGAATACGGATGAATATGGATGAATATGGATGAATATGGATGAATATGGATGAATATGGATGAATAAGAATGAATATGGGTGAAAATGGATGATTATGGATAAATAGGGATGAATATGGATGAATATGGATGAATATGGATGAATATGGATGAATATAGATGAATATGGATGAATATGGATATATATGGATGATTATGGATGAATTTGTATGAATATGGATGAATATGGATGAATATGGATGAATATGGATGAATATGGATGAATATGGATGAATATTGATGAATATGGATGAATATGGATAAATATGGATGAATATGGATAAATATGGATGAATATGGATGAATATGGATGAATATGGATGAATATAGATGAATATGGATAAATATGTATGAATATGGATGAATTTGGATGAATTTGGATGAATATGGATTAAAATGGATTAATATGGATGAATACGGATGAATATGGATTAATAAGAATGAATATGGATGAATATGGATGAATATGATACCTGTCATATCTCAGCAAATTATCTGTTTCTAAAGTATTGAATTGTCTACTGCTCTGTTGTATGATATCGTTTCACTACTACTAAACTATAGTTAATATAGTATATACCAACTCTCTATCTTTTATTTTACTATCGTTAAACAGGCAGGGTTGGGCCCTGGAGTATACAATAGTATTTATCAAGGCAGCCGTGGGCCCTGGAAATCCTTAAACTTAAATGGGGTCTACAGAGGACTTTGAATATTATTATCATTAAAATAAACTTTGAATATTATTATGAAAAACAGATGTTATGTAAATTTTTAAAACCTATCAAGGTAACATTATTTAGCACTTGTTTCTGTGAGTTTAAAGGTTTTCATTTTATTGCAAAAACAAACAAAAATGTCCTTTAACTTTAAAAGATAGGTTTTAACATTTAAAAAGTCGAATAATAAAACAAAATTTTGTCTCAGTTATAAATCCATGTCTTCTAAGTTTTGGAGTAAAATTGCACCCAGTGTTAGAATTAAACTTTTAACCCTGGAACCTCAAATACAGGTTTTATAGGTCTACCTCACAACCATTCATAGATAGATGGGTAGATAGATAGATAGATAGATAGATAGAAAGATAGATAGATAGATAGANTAGATAGATAGATAGATAGATAGATAGATAGATAGATAGATAGATAGATAGATAGATAGATAGATAGATAGATAGATAGATAGATAGATAGATAGATAGATAGATAGATAGATAGATAGATAGATAGATAGATAGATAGATAGATAGATAGATAGATAGATAGATAGATAGATAGATAGATAGATAGATAGATAGATAGATAGATAGATAGATAGATAGATAGATAGATAGATAGATAGATAGATAGATAGATAGATAGATAGATAGATAGATAGATAGACAGATAGATAGATAGATAGATAGATAGATAGATAGATAGAACATTTTTGTGTTCTGAATTGAATGATTAAACGTTATAATACATTGAATAAGCAAACATAATGATTGTCCTAAATATTTACTAAATTTATTTAATATTGTATATATTAACGATGTACGTAGATATTTATAAAAAAACCTTTCACTAATAAATAGCTTTCCCAGAAACTTGAATTAATGCAATGACCCAGAACTCTGAGGTGTAAAATTTTGTTTTTAATAGCGCTGATCTGCAATTCCTGAAATTGATTATATTCACGGTAACAACTTTTAAATCGAAAATGAAGATATTGTGGGTGGTTATACGCAACTTCATCATTTTTATATTTGCATGTTTATAATTTCATGATATATTAACAATTATTAATTTTTTTGTTGAATTAACCAAATACATAGAGAAAGTAATTGAACATAGAAGATATCTTATTATGTATACATAAAATCTTTTGATTGCCAATATGCGGCTATATATATTTGATTAAATCATTGTCGAACTATAAAATCTATAATTTAAATAAAAAAGCTATTTAAGAATATATTAACTTCTAATTTGTAATATGTTTTTATGTTTCATATCACACACAGAGAAAATATATTTACATACAGAGAAAATATATTTACATACAGAGAAAATATATTTACATACAGAGAAAATATATTTACATACAGAGAAAATATATCTACATACAGAGAAAAAGATTTTTACATTAAAGTTAATATCTAGTATGATCATATTGTGTGGCTTGTGTCAGATCAGAGGCTGAATTTTAAAATTTAAGCCGCGGCTCAAATATGAGACGCGGTTTAGACATGGTTTGTTCCACTTGAAGTTGTACTTAGTGTTTCGAGATTTGAGCCAGCGCTCAATTAAACCCGGTTTTTGGCTTTTTGAAAGGGGGTATAGGGTTATTGCGATAAAAAAGCGCTTTTGATCGAGCTACTAATCTTACTTCTATCTGTTGCATCTATAAGGAGAAAATTGTCAAAGACGTCTCATACCGAATAACTTAGCGTCCATACAAATTGAAAAAATTGCAACATACGACTTAGACCGTAAAAAAATCTATTTAATTTCAAACAAATCATTCAGATATTACAACCTATTGTCATCGATTATCTTTCGCCACATTTGTATATAGTTTATATTTTATAATTTTATAATTTTATTTCTCTTGTCGCTTGCACAACTATTTAAGAATGCCGCGCACCACTCACGTTTCTGAAAACGTTTCTAAAAATCAAAATATAAAAAAAAATTAATTAAAAAATATTAAGCTGGGCTGCGGCGGTGAACTATGCAATTCATTTTAATTGGAAACCATTAGTATCGGCTTTATTTATAACTGTATACATTTTACAAGGAACCATGGGGACTAGAACTACCAAAGTTGTACACCTATTCCTATTATTAATATTGACTCTTCTATCAATTTATCAGATATATCTCTCTATCGAGAGATATCTACAGTATCAGACTGGTACCTCAGAATATTCAAGGAAAACCAGGTATGGAATTAAACAATCAGAGGCCGCGATTTAAAAACTTCGGCTCGAGCTGTATGATTCCTTAAACCCGACTTTAAGACCCAATCTTCGACCCAACCCTGACGACAGCTTGTGTTACCTGATTGACAGCTGCAAGATCTTCGGCTCGACTTAGTTAGGCCAAAAAGAAAAAAACCGACCTTGGTTGGTTTTAGTGGAGAATAGGGCTTAATGTTTAGTATAGTTCTCATAAAAACCCGGAATGTGTCAATACCTGCCATGAAAATCCGCCAAATAGAATATTAAACCGGTTTACTTTGCGGGAAAAATCAAAACATAAGCCATCACAAGATTATATAGAAGTCACAAGACTTAATTTAACCCAGTGATTGTCATATATAGTTTCAGATGGTCTTTATCATCTCATCCATTGTGGATAGTCCTTTATATATTTATGTATCTTTCGTCTATCTTCTTTGTGAGATTAATGTAATAAAAAAGAATGCTAAAATGTTAAATACTTAAAGGCAAAAATAGAAATGCAATATTTGCATTGGTTCCCTTCAAACCTTAATCTGATTAAAAATGAGGAAGAATACCACCCTAGTTTCACCTGTCCATTAGGATTTTTATCCAATAAAACACAAGCGCGATTTTTTGACCAATAGCGATAGTGTGCTATCTATCTATCTTCACCGGTAAATGGCGCCAGTGAATTTATCTATCTATCTTCTTGTATCTAACTATCTTTCTTGCTATCGCTGCAGTAAACATGATATCGGGACCCAAAAATTACGGTGAAGTCGTCTTTCGTTAGCAGCCACAAACTACAGATTTAATATTTTGATGGATGATTTTGC